TGTTTTAAATTATTGTAGCTTTAATGCTAGTATAAAATCTGATAGTACCAAGACCCTTCAGCTCTCTTTTAAAAAAAAAATCTCTATTCTCACTCACTTATTCAAGATGAACTTCATAAAGTTGTCAACTTCCTAGAAAAAGCCAATTGTGATTTTGTTTGAAATGGTATTAAACTGATTAGGTTAATGCGGGGAAACTGCCATTTTCACAGTTCTCAGTCTTTCTACTAGGAATATGGCATGTCTCTGTGGTTATTCAAGCCTTCTTTTATATCCTTACAAATTAAAATAACTGTATTTCTGGCAGAAACTCTACTTGCTCATATATTATTATTCCTTTGATAAACTGCTAGATGTGATATGGCAGTGATTTATTCAGGGTTTCTACATCTATATTCACAAGTGAAACTGGTCTACAGTTTTTATTCTTGGTTTTGTAAAATGAATGGGAAAGAGTTCTAGGTTTCCCCAGGCTCTCTCTGGAACAGTTTATACAGTATAGAAGAGATCTGTTCTTTTTTCTTTTTTTTTCTCTAAGTGATTGGGGGTGGGGGAGTGTCTCACTATGTTATCCAAACTGGTCTTCAACTGCTGGGCTCAAGCAACTGTCTCACCTTAGCCTTCAATCTGTTGACAATTTTTTTTTTCTTTTTTCAAGTATGGTTAAGTAAGTTTCTTAAAAGTTTTAAAGAACTCACATTAAAAAAAGGTGAGTCTGGTTTATATTTTTGGATTTTTTTTTGAGTTGGGAGTCTCACTCTGTCGTCCAGACTGGAGTGCAGTGGCAAGCTCACCACCACCACAGCCTCGACCTGCTGGGCTTAGGTGATTCTTCCGCCTCAGCCTTCCAGGTAGCCAGAACTACAGATGCACACCACCACGACTAGCTAGTTTTGTGATTTATTGTAGAGATGAGGTCTCACCAAGTTGCCCAGACTGGTCTCAAACCCGGGCAATCCTCTCGCTTCGGCCTCCCAAAGTGCTGGGATTACAGGCTGAGCCACTGTACCTGGCCTAAAATATATTATTTTAAAAAACTAATTTATATTATTGGTTAGGTCCTTTTTATTGCTTCTGTTTTGAGAGTTTTTCCTAAATAAATGCATTTATTAGATTTGCCAGATCTTTGTTAATACTTGTAGTCTGTAAACTGTAGCCTGTAGGTCACATCCTGCTTGCTGCTTATTTCTGTATAGCCCGTGGTCTAGGAATGTTTTTTCTCTTTAACTTGGGTCTTCAGTTAAGAATGGCTGTTGCATGTTTAAGTTAAAAAAAAAACAAAAATAAAAATTCTCATGACGTGAAAAATTACAAGAAATTCAAATTTCAGGGTTCATAAAAAATTATAGGAACCCAGTCACGCTTATTCATTTGCATATTGTCTATGGCAGCTTTTGTGTTACAATGGCAGAGATGAATAGGTGCAAAAGAGACCATTTAGCCTACAAAGCCTAAAATATTATCTGGCTCTTAACAGAAAAAAATTGTGACCCTGATATGTAGGATATAAGCTTTGTTATCTACTAAATCCCCTAGTTTACTGTAATCTTGGTTTCTAGATCCTTAATGTATTTTTTTTTCCTTAATGTATTTTATCAGTCAAAGTCAGAGTGGTACATTAAAGTTTCCCACCACCCTGGAGTTTTTGCCATTTTCTCCTTGTATACATAATCACTTTTGTTTTACAGATATAATCTCTATGTTTCTGAGAACTAAGGTTGATAATATGTCTCTGTGTAGAAGAGTATTCTTTATAAAAATAAAATACCCGGTTTTACTAGATTTATTTTACCTTGGCTTGCTTGCAATTCCTATTATGTCTTGCCCAAACACTTTACTTTGTTATAGGAGTCACTTTTGTAGCTGGATTTTAGTTTTCTTGATCCATTCTGAAAGACTCCTTTTATAGGAGTATTTAGCCCATTTATATTTACAATTATGAACTCATTTTTATTAACTTTCTTTTGCTCCGTGTGCTGTTTTCCTAAAGAGGGTTCCCTTCCCCCCCAAAATTTGGAAAAGGTATACAACTCATTTTTAAATTTACTAGTATAATGGTGCTACTGTATGATTGTTAATTTTAAAAAATTCAGAAAAGTTCAAAGAAGAAAGTAGAAATCACACATATTTCTACTTTCAGAGCTAACCACTATTTTCAGATTTTGGTATTTTTGATTCTACTGTTTTTGTTTTTTTTTTTAGAGACAGGGTCTCGCTCTGTCACCCAGGCTGGAGTGTAATGGTATGATCACAGTTCAGTATAACCTCAAACTTCTGCGTTCAAGTGATCCTTTCGCTTCAGCCTCCCAAGTAACTAGGACTATAAGTGTGTGCCACCATGCCTGGCTAATTTTTTTTTTGAGTCAGAATCTCACTCTGTCGCCCAGACTGGAGTGCAGTGGCACACTCACGGCCATCCCAGTGTCGACCTGCTGGGCTCCAGCGATCCTTCCACTTCAGCCTTCCAACTAGTCAGAAATACAGGCACACTACCACACCCAGCTAATTTTTTATTTATTGTAGAGATGAGGTCTCTCGCTAAGTTGCCTGGGCTGGTCTCAAACCCGTGGGCTCAGGCAATCTACTTGCCTTGGGCTCCAAAAGTGCTGGGATTACAGGCTGAGCCACCGAGCCCGGGCTAATTTTTTTATTGTTTGTAAAGGTGGGGTTTTACTATGCTGCCCAGGCTAATCTTGAGCTCCTCCTGGCTTCAAGCAATTCTCCTGCCTTAGTCTCCCAAAACACTAGGATTACAGATATAAGTCACCATGCTTGGCCCATCTACTGTCTTTTTCTATGTGTATATTTTTAACACAGCACATAGACAATAATAAATTATGCATTAAATATTAGAACCTTATAGATAAAGCTAAAGTCTCCAATTCTCTTACTCTTTCTGTGACCCTAAGTATTATGCTATATATCTCGATTCCTCTAGCTTTTATTAGCCACAGAATAAACAGTTATTCCTATACATCCTCTTACTATTCCAAAATGTACTTTGAACAACTTGTGAAAAAATTTTCCCAAAAATCACTATGAAAATCACTTGCAGTTAGGATTCTTATCTACTGTTAGGGTTAGGCCAATAGAGGAAAGTGAATGGAAAATTCCATCTTATTTTGCCCACATGACTCTGCCATGCTGCCTCAGAGATTCCGCTTGAGTTACTGGTCCTGCCATTGTTTACCTAACAATAGTTTCTATAACTACTGACAATGGTGTTTTTTTTGTGTCCTACTAAGTATTTTAAAGGCAAGACACATAATAGAATTAAGAGTTGGTAAGTTTCTGCCATTTAATCTGGAAGCCCTGTATATTATATTTTATGTTCAGAAAAACACAAAAAATGAATTTTTAAAAAAAATTGTAAGTGAATTTGCCCAAGGGAAAACATAATTCTGGAAAAGCACTCAACAGATATATTTTAGAAGGTAGCGATGGCTCAAAGAAGCAAAGGAAGGCAGAGAAGAAAACAGAGACTAACTTGAAATGTGACTTAGCAGTATCATGGAACCAGGTCAGTACTATTTTAGGATGTTTCATGTGCTTCAGGATGGGGAAGAGATCTTGACCAGAAACACCTCTAGTGAGATCCCTATATACCATATAAACTGGCAGCTGAATTAAAATTAAACATAAAACCACCCATAAAAATAGGCTGACAAATTCTAATTACCTAATGTAAGATCAAAAGAGCTAAGTGTGTATAGTTTAATTAAGCCACATTTAATATTAATCTGTCTATAAATCCTAGGTTTAGCTAATACCTAGTTTCTTCCCGCTCACTAGAGTTATTTTTAAAAATTAAGAAAAGTATGATGAACTGATCAAATCAGAAGACATTTCCTGCTAAAACAGAGATTACAGTATAGAAACACTGCAAACGCCATTTCTTTTCTAATAATAGCTGTATCTGTTGTCAGTACAGTTAGCCTGGAGATGCCACTCATGATTATGGGCATATCTAACCTCCCCAACTAGGCATCATCCATAGAACTCAGTTCAGTAAAGCAGGGCTAGGCTAGCTAGTCTGTCTAGAGGTGGCCCCTGGGTGGCCGGCAACTTGGTCAAAGGACAGGTCATACATAACAGCTTACAGTATAAAAAGTTGTGCTGGGCTGGAGTCCTCTCTTGGAAATTTAGAACGAAGAATATGAAAAACTTGTCAACTGGAAAGAAAAGAGACAGAGTAGCTGAGTGGGTTGAGTCTGATACCTTATTCAACTACAGGCCCTGTTCCTTCTGCAGTCTGGCTTGACTACTATTTTCTGTCCTTCCTAAGAAAAAAATTAATTTAACTTTCTCTGAATTTCTGTGCATATATCTTTACAACAAACTTGCTGTTACTATTTATTTGGGAGAGTTTTCCCTCATAATAAAAAAACCTCAGTAATATGGATTTTGACTTTTTTTTTTTGAGTTGGGAGTCTCACTCTGTCACCCGGCTGGAGAGCAGTGGCATGCTCACGGCCACTGCAGCTTTGGCCTGCTGGGCTCAGGTGATCCTTCTGCCTCAGTCTTCCAAGTAGCTGGAACTACAGGTGCAGGCGTATACCACCATGTCTGACAAATTATTTATTTATTTATTTATTGTAGAGACAAGGTCTTGTCATGTAGGTTAGGGTGGTCTCAAACTCCTGGACTCAGGCAATCCTCTCACCTCTGCCTCCCAAAGTGCTAGGATTATAGGCGTAAGCCACTGCACCTGGCTAGATTTTAACTTTTAAAAGACTTTTTACAAACACAATTCTGTAAATCTAGGTGGAACGAAACTATCCATTTCACAGATGAGAAAACCGAGGCAGAGTGAAATCATAATTTCTTAAGGTCATATAGCTTCTCAGTGGCATAACAATTATAAAATAAGACAGTTGTGTTTTCCCGTTAGATCACCAATTTGTTTAAATGCTACTGTTTTCCTTCACAGTTCTTTCTCCCCAAACATCAGCTGTATCAAGAACAATACTGTAAGGCAGAAAAATAAGTTTCCCTCTTACCTGTCTGCTGTATAGTAGTTATCGCCTGAGCATTACACTGCAGCTGTAACATGTGTCGCAGCATGGCCACTCCCCAAATATTCAAATCTGCACACAACTCAGGAGTCCCTGCTGCTTTTAGCTGAGAGGATTTCACATCTGTTGCAGGGGCCTGTACACTGGCTGCTTCTAGCTGCCTGCACAGTGCAGAAACACTGAGAGCACAGAGGAATTTATGCTCTGGGCTATGGTCTTCAGTATGGGGCAAAAGGTGGAAGACAGCATTATAATTATTTTCATACTTCCCATTAACATCACATCCAGGAACTGGGGTCTCAAGCATTTTGCCATTTTCTTCACTTTCCCCTAGGCTATGATTAAGTATCTTGACTGGATTCTTGCATTTAGGTAAACAGATGTCTTTGTTATTAATCTCATCATAAAGCGTCCTTATGATTTTGCCAACATCCTCAAATCTAGCTAAAAGAGTCAACCTCAGGGCAACGTGGCAAAATACACCCAGTGTGAGAAGCAGGCCCCCTAGAGAACACTCTGTGCTATGGTAGAGCTCCCAGGCCTGCTGCATACACTCTTGGCTGCAATACTTGGCATAGCTGCATCCATCACAGGGAATTATGGCCAAAGTGTGCTTCAAACATTGGTGACAGTAGAGGTCCCCACTGGTAACTCTGGTATCCCACTTGCCATCTAGGCCATGATGCAGTGGTGGCATTTCTCCCGGGTTAAGGACACTCACAAAAGCATCCTCCTTCACCAGGAGCTCTCCTGGGAGAATATCTTTTGTGGCAATCAGACAGCGGCCTTTTAAGGGATCCATGCATAATCTGACAGATGATGATACACTGGAAATTTGTTCATTCTCTTCCTTTAGGTCCATATCCTCAAAGGCTTTGGCCAGAGGTTCTGGGAAGGTTTCTGTGAGATTTTTTTCTTGTACCTTCATTTTCAGATGACGAAGGTTTCCCTGCAGAATCTGAAAGGGGGAATCTGCTAGGGTTAGTCTGGCAGCGAAGTTACTTTCAAGATCATTGATGGTCTGGCTTGCCTCCTGTAGTCTCCCCAGGGTCACTAAACATTCTGCCTTACGAAACATTATCTTGGGTTGCAGTCTTTCTGGATACCCGTGCATCTGTGCTCTAATGATGTCTTTAAGACACGTCTGAAAACAGAAAGGAAAATTTAAATGACCTTTGGTTCCTACTCTTTAACGTCTACTAAAAATGTTTCTAAAAATCTACAGGAAAGTTAAGGTTTATTACAAATGGGACAACTACAACCACATGCTTATTTGAATCATATTATACTGTGTGATCCTTGTTGTTTGTTTTTTTTTTTGAGTTGGGTCTCACTTTGTCACCCAGGCTGGAGTGCAGTGGCATGCTCACAGCCACAGCAGTGTAGACCTACCGGGTTCAAGTGATCCTTCCGCCTCAGCATTCCAAGTAGCTGGAACTACAGGTGCGTGCTACCACAACTGGTTAATTTAAAAAAATTTATTGTAGAGATGAGGTCTCTCCAAGTTGCCCAAGTTGGTCTCAAACCCATGGGCTCAGGCAATCCTCTCACCTTAGCCTCCCAAAGTACTGGGATTATAGGTATGAGCTACCACGCCTGGCCTAATCAAAGTTTTTTATCTGGAAGTTTTGAAAAGGCTGTTTCATGATTAGTGGAAGAAAAGTCCTGAGTTGTGGCAAACAGGTGACTGGTTTTTCAACCATGTGGGCACTTGCCTACACTGCACTGAGTGTTTAACAGATTTTGACCCAAAACGGCATGATTTCCTGCCCTATTCACCTGATCTCACCCTGAGCAACTTTTGTTTCCCCAGATGACAAAAGTCCTCAAAGGGAGGAAACATTTTGCCAATATGGAAGAGATGAAACAAAAAATGGCAAAAGCAGCCAGGCGCGATGGCTCATGCCTGTAATCCCAGCACTTTGGGAGGCCGAGGTGAGAGGACTGCTTGAGTCCAGGGATTCAAGATCAGGTTGGGCAACTTGGCGAGACCTCATCTCTACAATAAATCAAAAAATTAGCTGGGTGTGGTGGCACATGCCTGTGGTTTCAGCTACCTGGAAGGCTGAGGTGGAAGGATCATCTGAGCCCAACAGGTAGAGGCTACAGTGGCTGTTAGCGTTCCACTGTACTCCAGTCTGGGTGAGCCTCCAATTCAAAAACAAAAAACAAGCAAGCAAACAAACAAACAAAGAAAAACAGCAGGAACACTAAAAGGCATCAAAATTTATGAGTTCAAACACTGTTTTGAGCAAGGGAAAAAGCATTTTGATTGGTGTATTGCATCAAATGGAGAGTATTTTTAAGATGACCAAAGTTTAAACATGTAAAAATAAATACACAGTTTTAAATAATTCCATTTTTTAGTCCCCCAAATATCTAGTATGTTGAAAGGAGTACCTAGAACACAGTATGTGCTCAATAAATGGTAATCATTATTATAAGAAGGGAAACGGACTGGGCTCAGTGGCTCAGCCTGTAATCCCAGCACTTTGGGAGGCCGAGGAGAATGGATTGCCTAGAAGGTAGGCTTTCTGTAAGTGGCATTCTTCTCATGTCCTAATTGTGGCAACAGAAAAAATGTTGAGAACTGTGTTGGTGGAGTTTTTAAAACAGAAAGTAACCAAAATCAGATTAATGTTTAGGATTGCCTGAGCCTGAGGGTTCAAGACTCACCTGGGCAACTTGGCGAGACCTCGTCTCTACAATAAATCAAAAATTAGCAGGGCGTGGTAGCACGCACCTGTAGTTCCAGCTACTTGGAAGGCTGAGGTGGAAGGATCGCTGGAGCCCAGCAGGTTGAGGTTATGGTGGCTGGGAGCGTGCCACTGCACTCCAGTCCGAGTGACAGAGTGAGACTCCAACTCAAAAAAAAAAAAAAGAAAAAAAAGGGAAATGACTAATACAGGAAAATTACAAATAAAGAGTTAAATGTTTGTTTTACAATTTTTTCTAATCATTGTCCTCAATAGTACAGGACTTTCTTGTTTAGGGTATAACATTAGTGTCTTGCTCCTCTCTTTTAGTCCAAAGGACAATTACTATTCCACTCGTTCGTGACTCTAGGGTGTAAGTTCTGTGCAAATCTGAAATGGATGTACCAAAATGGCATTTTAGAGCTTGGTCCTTGGGGTTCGCTAATACAAATTTCAGATGTCTTGAGGTATCTTCCTAAACATTAATCTGATTTTGGTCACTTCCTGTTTTAAAAACTCCACCAACACAGTTCTCAACATTTTTTCTGTTGCCACAATTAGGGCATGAGAAGAATGCCACTTATAGAAAGCCTACCTCCTAGGCATACATAGGGCATCTTTTACTTTCCCACTCACAATGCTTATTAAGGGTGAGCTATATTATTACAGAGATAACCTTGAGCATGCTCCACTTATTTAAAAGAAGAACAAACAAGTAAACACATTTTGCAAACACTTGGAATCTGAAGTATAATCAGCAACACATCGCACAGCTAATCTCGACACTGAGCACTGATGATCTGCTGGATACAGTCTATGCCCACGGAATATACCACAGTTCTTTTCTTGTTAACTAACACTACCCTGTATGGTCACCTGTGACCGGTGAAGTGAATCAAGAGAAAGAACAAGTTTGGGCAGGTATCAATTCAACCAGTTGTAGCATGGTCTGACTTCAGTGCTCCTCCAGTGAAGGCTCTATTGATCCTCTCTGATCACACCAGACATCCTGATACTCACCTCATACTGACCCAAGTGGAAGAGGGCTGCAGAACGATTAGCATAACACAGTGAAATGTTCCTGGTGTTAGGCTTTGAATGTGATATTCCCTGCAAAACAATGAGCTAATTAACATTATAAATGGAAACTAGCATCTCTAAAGTATATTTTTCAGATAATAGGGGCTCTATTACTAAAGAGTGTATGAAACTGGGGAAGTTACTGAACCTCTTTGAGCTTTTTCAGCTTCATTTTTAACTACTTCAGAGCAAAGCTGTGAAGATCAAGTGAGGAAAGAAATATTCAAAGCACTTTGAAGATCGCTCTATCAGACACAGCTTCAACCACAAACAATACTGAAGGTAATAAAACACCCAGGAAAATATTTGCAAGCATAATCCTTAATAACAAAAGGTGAGTGGCACAAATAGAAACTCACAAAAGAAGAAACATACGTAACATATGGACATATCAACATACAGAAAACAAGGCTGGGAGTGGTGGCTCACATCTGTAAATTCAGTACTTTGGGAGGCTAAGGTCAAAGGATTGCTTGAGGCTCAAGACTAGCCTAAGCCTAAGAGACCTTGTCTCTTACACGAAAACTTAAAAATTAGCCAGTTATGGTGGTTCATGCCTGTAGTCCCAGTTTCACAAGAGGCTGAGGTGGGAAGACTGCTTGAGCCCAGGAGGTCAAGAAACACACATACACATATGGAAAACAAATGCTTAACTCATATATGGATAGCCAAATATACGAAAATGAAAGCAAAAAAAGACATTTATTATTTTATTTTATTTTATTTTATTTGAGTTGGAATCTCACTCCATTGCCCAGGCTGGAGTGCAGTGGCATGCTTATGGCCACCCCAGCATTGACCTGCTGGGCTCCAGCGAGCCTTCCGCCTCAGCCTTCCACGTAACCGGAACTACAGGCGTGCGCTGCCATGCCTGGTTAATTTTTGATTTATTGTAGAGACGAGGTCTCAACAAGTTGCCCAGGCTGGTCTCGAACCTGCAGGCTCAGGCGATCCATTCGCCTCGGACTCCCAAAGTACTGAGATTACAGGCCGAGCCACCGAGTCCGGCCCGAGACATTTCTTATACTATCTAATTGGCAAGGGTTAATAATAACCATGAAGGTGGCACCTCAAATCACTGTAGAAAAAATGGGGATTATTCAACAAAAGTATTGGGGCACGTAGGTAACCAATAAGAAATAAATTAAGTTAGCTCTATATATGGTTAAACCTTTCACTGGATAAATTCCAAATGTATCTAATTCTAATGTAAAAAATAAAACTCTAAGAGTACTGAAAGAAATCATAGAAATAGTCTAAAGAAATGTTGAAAGAATCCTTTCTAGCCCAGAAGTCATAAAAAGTTAATAAATTTGACCACAAGAAAATAAAAAAAATCTTCACAGAAAAAAACCAATAAAAACAATATCAAAAGGCAAACACTGAACTGTACAAAAATATTTACATCTCATATTACAGGCAAAGAGCTAATTTCTTCACTTTATTAAGAGTTCCTATAGATCAGTAAGACGACAAGCAATAAATCAATAAGAAAATAAGCAAATAACATGAACAGTTCTTATGGAAGATACAAATGGTTGTTTTTGTTTTTTGTTTTGAGTCAGAGTCCTACTCTGTTGCTCAGGCTGAAGTGCAGTGGCATGCTCATGGCCATTGCACCTTCGACCTGTTGGGCTCAGGTGATTCTTCTGCTTCAGTCTTCTAAGGAGTTGAAACTATGGGTATGTGAGACCACGACTGGCTAATTTTTCTTGATTTATTGTAGAGACAAGGTCTTGTCAAGTTGATCAGGCTGGTCTTGAACCCCTGGGCTCAGGCAATCCTCTTACCTCCTCCTCCCAAAGTGCTAGGATTACAGGCATGAGTGAGTCACCACACTCGGCTAAATGGTTCTTAAACATATTAAAAAATGCTGAACCTCATTCATAATCAATAAAATGCAAATTAAAACTGTACTGAGATACCATTTCTTACCTATAAGATTGGCAAAGAAAAATAAAATCAATAGCACACTGAGTTTGCTAAGGAGTGGATAACTGGCATGGTCATTACGTTTTTTGTTTTTTTTTGAGTTGGAGTCTCACTCTGTCACCAGACTGGAGTGCAATGGCCGCTCCTGGCCACTGCAGCCTTGACCTGCTGGGCTCCAGAGATCCTTCCGTCTCAGCCTTCCAAGTAGCTGGAACTACAGGCATGCGCTACCACACCTGGCTAATTTTTGATTTATTGTAGAGATGAGGTCTCGCCAAGTTGCCCAGGCGGGTCTCAAACCCGCGGGCTCAGGCAATCCACTCACCTCAGCCTGGGATTACAGGCTGAGCCACCGAGCCCAGCTGTCATTATGTTTTTATTAGGAGTATATATTGGTCTTATAATTATATAAGGCAATTAGCAATATATAAAAATATTTTTATGTATAGTTTAATATATATATAAAATCTCCTTGACCCCGTAATTCCTCTTTGAGGAATTTATCCTACAGATATGTATAAAATGACACACATGCAAAGTTTTTCATCATATAATTGTTTGAAATAGCAATATGAAACAAATGTTGATCTATAGGACACTGGTTAAATAAACTATGATATAGTCATTTAATGGAGTACCATGTAGTCATAAAAAAGAATGTAGAAGTCCTTTATATACTGATATAGAATGATCTTCAACTATTACAATTAGGTGAAAAAAAGCATGGTGCTGAACAGTATGTAGAGAATGTTACCATTTATGTGAAAAGAGAGTGTGTGTGCAGGAGTGGAAGGTTATCTGTACTGTGTTTATTTAGATACCCCAGGAATACTTTTGGAAAGATCTACTTCACAGTGCTAGTTTATGAGACTGGGAAATGAGGTGGTCAGGGGACAGAGAAACAGACTATACTGTACACTTTTGCAACTTTTAAAATCTATGTGAACCGATTTCCTACTCAAAAATAGATAGATATAATAATAACAAATATTGCTTAGGATATGGAGAAATGAACATTCCCAAACTCTGCCAGAAGGGATGTCAGTTTTTTTCTGGAGAACAATTCAGCAACAGGTACCAAAGGCCTTAAAAGACACAGTCCCAGGCCAGGTGCAGGGGCTCATGACTATAATCCCAGCATTCTGGGAGGCTGAGGTGAGAGCCTGAGCCCACAGATTTGAGACCAGCCTGGGCAACTTGGCAAGATCTCATCTCTACAATAAATCAAAAAATTAGCCGGGCGTGGTGGCATGTGCCTGTAGTTCCAGCTACTTGGAAGGCTGAGGAGGAAGGATCGCCTGAATCCAGCAGGTCGAGGCTGCGGTGGCTGTAAGCATGCCACTGCACTCCAGTCTGGGCAACAAGAGTGAAACTCCAACTCAAAAAAAAATACATTCTCTTTGACCCAGGAATTACCCTTCTAGGAATTTATCCTAAGAAAATAATCAGATGTATATAAATATTTACATAGAAAGATGCTTGTTGCCAAACAATTTGCTAACATTAGAAGATGTTAAATTAAGTACAGTTCTTCTCTGTAATGGAACACTAAGCAAGCTGTAAAAAATTATGTTAGAGTGGAAAATTTAATAACATGAGAAAATGGGCACAATAAATTGTTGAGGGGAAAAAAAGCAGGTTATAAAACAGTAAGTGCAGTATTACCTCAATTTTGTAAAAGAAAAATGTATTTTCAGAAAAAAAGGTCTGGCTGGATGGATGTAAGCAAAAATGCTAACAGTGCTTATCAGTGGTTATGAGATTTTTTTTACTCTTTATGCTTCTCTACTGTATATTTTCCAAAGTAAACATATATTACCTTTACAATCAGACAAAAACAACAAATATTATTTTAAAAAAGAAAATTTCTAGAAAATTGCAAAGCACTATAATCACTAAAATACTAGCTTCATGAAATTAGAAGGCTCATCTCCCTCAACATCCAGATCCAACCTTAATTTTTTGTCTGACTTCAATTTTTATTTTATCATTTTTTTCTTGAGTAACTCCCCATGTGATCATATTTACGATGCACATACATAAAGTTGAAGAGATTAGCTGTGAAAAAGAACTATTAAGCCATTTATCACTGGATCATTACATCTAATGGATTTTAATCCTTCAGCAATCACTAAAGCTTACATTATTTAGCTAAATACTTTGTTATAATACTACAAAGCAGGAATTTTATCAGCTGTGGAAGCTGCTGTTGTAGCAATGATAGTTTTTGGAAACTTAATTCCAAACGTTAAGCATAAATCTGTTAAAGATTCAGAGTAGGGATATAGCCTTCAAATTTCCACTCATTCTTTTAATATACAAGATCACAGATACGGTGCAAGGGATTGATACAATCTTGCTTTAAAACCATATAAATCTCTTAAAAACGCTAGAAGGAAGTTTCTCAGGGGATCTTGTTCCAGTTCTTAATATGAAAGTAGGACAATAAGAGTAACAGATTGTTAAAAGTCATGATTTCTCCCAAAAATCTCACTCAGTGATGGTTAGTGTAACGTAAAATATTTTTTGACTACCACTAATATTAGCATGTACACTGACAACCTTCAAAATGGATTCAATTGGGCTGTGACCAATGAACTTTTTCCTTTCTAGCTTAATCTGAGTTGTACTGGTTGAAAGCTAACACTGGCTAACTAAAATCCAGCTGTTCTCTAAATCAGGACTATCAAGCTAATAGCCTCATCAGACATTCAGACAAATGGCATAAAATTCAGTGAGAGCCGACAGATATGGGCAGGGCAGGCAAAGGGGCTAATAAGCCTATTGCTAACAGGTGGCTAAAGGAATATGGGAATAGAAGTTTCTTGAAGAGATTTGGGCCATATAAACTACCTTTTGTTTTAGAATACAACCAACAGCAGAATTTTGCCAGGTTTCTTTTTCAAATTCATTTCACAAAGTATAGACAAAGACAACACAGGCTATGAAATTTAGCAGCATGGTTGTATCTCCTGGAGAAACATGCATTGGTAAGTTGTAGAGCTGGAAGTATTTTACCTTAGAATATAGCACTGCAGCACCAGTATAATCCTTCTCCTGAAATTTTTTGTTTCCTTCTTCTCTGTAGAAAAGGGGTGCGTCGGAGTCCTTTCCCACCAAATAACCTCTAGAAAGTCTTTTTAAAAACATCTCATCTTCAGGTCTTCATGAAGAAAGAGGGAACAAAAAAAGTAGAAATTTCTTATTTCAAGGAAAGCTCCAAGTCACTGCACTTTAAACAGCGTTTTGCTGGACCACATGAGGTTGTATGTAATGTATAATGTGACCAGAGGGGGGAGATTCTCATTGTTTTAGAGACACAGGTACCAGAATTTTATTTAGATAACTGAGTGCTAATTTTTATTCCTTTTTACTTTTTTGAGTTGGAGTCTCAACCTATCGCCCAGGCTGGAGTGCAGTGGCACCTCAAAGCTACTGCAGCCTCAACCTGCTAGGCTCAGGTGATCCTCCCACCTCAGCCTTCCAAACTGCTGGAACTACAGGCAGGTGCCACCATGCCTGGTTAATTTTTTTAATTTATTGTAGAGATGAGGTCTCATCAAGTTGCCCAGGCTGGTCTTGAATCCCTGGGCACAGGCAATCCTCTCACCTCTGCCTCCCAATTTTTTATTCTTTATCTCATAATTACTAGGCAATAAGCCATCCCTAGAATCATACATCATAAAAATCTTGGGTGTGGAGAATGACAATACATGGTGTCTTTGTACCAAGGAATATTTTCCACTTAAACTGAGTTGAAAATACTTGAGTAGCTGACAGAAGAGAGAGAGAGAGAGGAGCAGAGGGGAGGGGAGGAGAGGGGAGACTATGAGAATGAATCATAAAGTAAATGCAGTGAAATGTTATCATTTGGGGAACCTGGAAGAATTCAGAATTCACCAATTCTTCAAACTATTTTTGCAAGTAAGTATGAAATTATTTCAAGCTAAAAAGTTTTAAAAATAGCATAAATGCTCCACATCATAAAATTAATAAGGTTGATTCAATATATAAATGCCGGGGGTGCCAAAAAACGTACACACAATTTTAAGAAATGTTATCTATGTTTTACTTTTCAAAGTTGAATTGAATTACAGTAGTAATGTGTAGTATGACGTTCGCTCAAAAGATATGTAGTATGACAGTCACTCAATCAAATGAATGCTTATGTCCCTGAGACAGGCAGGACAGTCAAAGAAAATGGTGCAAGCATGGTTGTCATTGGAGGAATGCAAGACCATATTGAACTGGTATTTGAAATTCTAGCCACGTGCTGTGGCTAACTCCTGTAATTCCAGCACTTTGGAAGGCCAAGACGAGAGGATTGCCTGAGCCCAGGGGTTCGAAACAAGCCTGGGCAACTTGGTGAGACCTCGTCTCTACAGTAAATCAAAAAATTAGCTGGGTTGTGGTGGTTTGCATGTGTAGTTCCAGCAACTTGGAAGGATGAGGTGGGAGGACCGCTTGAGGATGAGCTGTTTGTCATCCAGGTCAAGGCTACAGTGGCCATGAGTGTGCCACAGCACTCCAGCTTGAGTGACAGTGAAACTCCAACTCAAAAAAAAAAAAAAAATTGAGAATATTGTGGAAGTGCAAGGACAATGGAGGTATAAGTATGCAACAGAACCTCCAACATGCCTAACAATTGCATGCATTCATGGTAAGTTTGAGATGCACAGTACTGTGTGTGATGTACACAAGGTAAGATCTGAGACAAGCAACAAGTCCTACAGTAGTTCGCCATACTCTGAAGTGTCTGAATGCTGATGGTAACCACTTTGAGCACCTCTTGTGATTGCAAAAGTCAACTGAATTGATGAATACCAAAGTCTTGTATTTATCTTTTGTTATTGGTATAGATTATTACAATTTTAATACAGTATTTTTCTTTCTTAAAATGTGTATACTTTTTTGGTACCCTCTGTATACAAACATACACAACACTGGTAAAAGAGAATATTTTTTTCAGTTAAAAAAAAATAGAATAACCTAAACGATACTCTTTGACTAAAATGCCAGAAAGTAAAATATGAATAATAAAAGTAGAAACACAAATGACATAGAAACTAAAAATTATTTTAAGCAACTCAGATTAAACAAGAAACCACAATCAAAACTGCAGACTGGGCCGAGCTCGGTGGCTCAGCCTGTAATTCCAGCACTTTGGAAGGCTGAGGTGAGTGGACTGCCTGAGCCTGCGGGTTCGAGACCAGCCTGGGCAACCTGGCGAGACTTGTCTCTACAATACATAAAAAATTAGCCGGGCATGGTAGCGCGTGCCTGTAGTTCCGGCTACTTGGAAGGTTGAGGTGGAAGGACTGCTAGAGCCCAACAGGTCGATGCTGGGGTGGCCATGAGCATGCCACTGCACTCCAGCCTGGGTGACAGAATGAGACTCCAACACACACACACACACACACACACACACACACACACACACACACACACACACACACACACACACACAGATTGCAGACCGGGCCAGTGGCTCATGCCTGTATGTAGTCTTAGCTACTCAGGAGGCTGAGGCAGGAAGACTGCTTAAGCCCAAGACTTCAAGGCTGCAGTGAGCTATGATCACCTCATTGAACTCCAGCTTGGGCAACAGAGGGAGGCTCTGTTTCTAAAAGAAAAAAATACAAGCTGCCAAATATTTGCAAGTCTTTTTTATTTTTTCAATTTATTTTTATTTTTTATTTTTTTGAGATAGGGGCTCACTTTGTCACGCAGGCTGGAATGCAGTGGTATGATCAAAGCTCACAGTAACCTTAAACTCCTAGGCTCAAGTGATCCTTCTACTATGTCCTCCCAAGCAGCTGGGACTACAGATATAAGCCCCCATGCCCAGTTCTCATTCATTTTTATTGCTGAATAATATTCCGCTGTGTGTGTACTCATAATTAACTTATCCATTCATCCATTGATGGATGTTTGAGGTGTTTTGCTTTTGGCTATTATGAATAGTGCTGCTATGAACACTGGTGTGCAAATATTTGCTCAAGTTCCACTTTCAATATTTTGGCGTATAAACCAGAAATGGAAATGCTGGAGTATATGGTAATCCTATGTTTAATGTTTTGAGGAACTGTTATACCATTGTCCACAGTGGCTGCACCATTTTATATATCTACCAGCAATGCACAGGGGCTCCAATTTCTCCACATCTCATCAACACTTATTATTATTATTTTTTTTGTAAAAGTCATCCTAATGCACGTGAAGCACTAGGCTATTGTGGCTGTGGTGTGCATTCCCCTGATAATTAATGATGTTGAACATCTTTTCATGTGCTTATAGGCTATTTGTATATCTTCTTTGGAGAAACGTAGATTCAAGCCCTTTATCTATTTTTTAATTGGATTTTTTGTTGTTGAGTTGTAGGAGTTTTTTATATATTCCGGATATTAATCCCTTATCAGACATATGAATTGCAAATATTTTCTCCCATTCTGTGGGTTGTCTTATTATTCTCTTGATAGCGTCCTTTGGTCTACAAGTTTTTAATTTTGATGAAGCACAGTTTATTTTTTTCTTTTGTTGTCTGTTCTTCTGGTATCATAGTCGAGAAATAACTGCTAAGTACAATGTCATGAAGATTCCCCCGTATGTTTTCTTTGAAGAGTTTTATAGTTTTAGGCTGGGCACAGTGGCTCATGCCTGTAATACCAGCACTTTGGGAGGCTGAGGAGGGAGAATTGCTTGAGACCAGAAGTTCAAAACCAGCCTGAGGCAACATAGGAAGATCTTATCTCTACAAAAAATGAAAAAATTAGCCAGGCATGGTGGCAGGGATCTGTAGTCCCAGCTACTCAGGAGACTGAGGTGGAAGGATCACCTGAGCCCAGGAGATTGAGGTTGCAGTGAGCTGTGATTGTGCCACTGTACTACAGCCTGGGTGACAGTGAGAAATAAACTAAAAAAAAAAAAGTTTTACAGTTTTAGCTGTTAATTTTAGGGTTTTGATCCATTTTGATTTAACTTTTGTACATGGTATCAGGTCAAAATCCAACTTTACCTTTTGTATGCAGGTTGTAAGAAAGAACCAATTTCCTTTTTCTTCCAATTTTGCCTTCTCTCTAGAGCCCTCGACAAGTAAAGCTTTTCATGGAGTCAATTAGTACAGCAGAAAGTCCAGATTCGGCCCCAAAGTAGAGTACAGAAGCCTGAGATTGGATGTAATAGCTTAATAACTGACACACATCCATATCCACATTCTTTTTCTCTAAACCATTTGAAAGTAAATACAGCCATCATGGAGGTTCACCTCTAAACATCTGCAGGCCTCTGTCAAAAATAAGGATATTCTCCTATATTACTACAAGATTTTTTTTTTCCAGATGGAGTCTCACTCTGTTGCCCAGGCTGGAGTGCAGTGGCATGCTCACAGCCACTGCAACCTCGACCTGCTGGTTTCAGGTGATCCTTCTGCCCCAGCCTTCTGAGAAGTTGGAACCACAGGCATGTGCCACCATGCCTGGCTGATTTTTTGATTTATTGTAGAGATGAGGTCTCACCATGTTGTTGATCATTTATTATCACTAAAGAAAATTAATACCAATTCAAATATCATTCAAATTTATATTTTACCAATTATCCCTAAAATGTCTTTTGTATCTTTTTCTCACCCAACCTGATCCAGGATTAAGATGCTAATGTTATTCATTTAGTTGTTATTCCTCTTTAGTCTCTTTTCAGATAATTCTATAGTTTTTGTTGTTTAGGGGTAATTTTTTTTGAAGACTGAAGGTCAGAAAAATGTTTCACATTTTGTTTTGTCTCAGTTTCCTCACGACCAGATTTAAACAACTTTTGTCATAAATATTGCTATATAACTAAATGTGTATACTTCTTTTTTTTTTTTTTGAGTTGGAGTCTTACTCTGTTGCCCAGGCTGGAGTGCTGTGGCACGCTGCTTACAGTCACTGCAGCCTCCACCTGCTGGGCTTAGGTGATCCTTCTGCCTCAGTCTTCCAAGTAGTTGGAACTACAGGCATGTGCCACCATGCCCAGCTAATTTTTTGATTTGTGTAGAGATGAGGTCTCACCAAGTTGCCCAGGCTAATCTCGAACCCCTGGGCTCAGGCAATCCTGCTGCCTCTACCTTCCAAAGTGCTGGGATTACAGGCATGAGTCACCGCACCTGGCCAAATCTGTATATTTCTT